AAACTTATGGATTTTGATCAATTTAATGCACAAAATTTATTCTAAACCAATTCTTGTACCAAACACTAAAAACTAGTAAAAAGTAAAATAAAGAACAAAAAGACTCAATGAGATCCTTATCACCTTACCTTTTCTCTGGAAACTCTGGTTCTTTGTCTTTTCTCTCTTGTACTTTGTCTTTGCTTGTCATGTGATGATCGGTTAGTAGGTTGAAAAATTCGATGCTTGGAGATCTTCTTGCTTCCACACTCAGCAACAAAATGACCTTTCTTGCCATAGTTGAAACAATCCCCATTGGACTTGTCAAGAGGAGCTGAATTAGGTTGGTTCAAGGTCCTTCGGTCAATGACCTTAGATTTGGGAGAGAACTTAGAAAAACCCTTTTTGGCATACCTCTTGAAGTTGGTAGCCATCATGGCATGTTATCAGCTAAGTTATCAACTGTGGGTCCTTCACCTTCATCATCTGCGTCACCCACATAGCTTTCAGCAATTTCCTTGTCAACTTCTTCATCAGAGCCAATCAGATAAATGATACAAGATTCACTCACATATTTCCTCGTGTCATTGCAGAGAAGAGCAACAAGATTACTCTTAGGATCCTTTAAGAATGCTTTTTTCCGAATCTTAGTTTGCTCATAATTATGGAAAGTTCCATAAAGAGCGGTAAGAGGCATGTAATCTAGATCTTTGATTATCTTGATGTGAGTGCGGATGTTTTACTAGAAATCTGGTAAACAATCCATGAATTTGGACAAAACTTCCTCACTAGCATAGACTCTACCATGAAGCTTTAGATCATTTAGGATGTTGTTAAAACCTGTTATTGTACTTAGTGAGAGATTCACCTTTCCCATGCATAAAGAGTTCATATTGCCTGACGAGGTCAATCTTGCTTTTTTTTACTTCATATAGAACACAGAGGGTGTTCCACATGTCCCTTGCAGTAATGAGGTTCACCAAGGAGTGGTAAACATCATCAGGCGGAGAAAAGGCAATGATAGATCTTACCTTGATATCCAAGGAAACTTTCCTTTTGTCATTTTCATTGTATTGTTTGATGAATCTTCCAGTAGAGTTAGATTTAATTCATTAAATTGGTTAGATCTAAACTAATAACATACCCGGATCTTTTATATGTATTGAAATATACACAACTCAGCTTCATCATCAAAATAATTTGAAGAGTCACCTTCATCTTTGTTCTTTACATGACGAAACTACACTTTTGGAACAATATGGCCATTTTTAAGGATAGAGATATATTGACCATCAACACCTCAAGGAAGACTGTCATGCGACTTTTTTACAGAGGAAAGTCATTCTTCTTAAACTTTGGAGGCTGGAAATAGTGTCATTGTGATGGTACGAAGAAGGAGAGTGGTTAGTAGAAGAAGAGACCATTGCAGATCTGGCTTCTAAGATTAAGCTAATTGTTTTGAGTTTGTTGGTCTTGAATGGAATAGCAATAAACATAATGTATTGTAAAAGGATGGGGTTGAATACAATTGCATAGATTTTATCAAAATTTTAATTCTTATTGATATATATATATATATATATATATATATATATAACGAATTAACACACAAAAATACAGATTGTTGCAAAAAAAGGAAAGAATAAACCTAGCCTAAACAATCTTACACATGGAAGAACTTACAAGAACCACACAAAGAGTACTTGCAAGAAAATGAAGAACACTAAAGTTTAATTTATACATATGAGAGTAGGAGAGTAGAAAAGAAGAGTTGATTGTCTTGAGAATGCACTTAGAAATTCTGTCTATAAAGCATAATTTGCATGGAAGATGCACTATACCTTTTATTACTACCCTCATGCATTAAATGCATGAGGACACTTGTCACCTAAAAAGGCATGGTGTTGACTTGACCCAGGGCCGTCCCTGGAGGAGGGCGGGTCGGGTGTACGTCCAGTTATAGGCCCAAATTTTTTTAATATATATAATAGTAGTTCAAAAAAATTAGTAAATAGAAAACACATAAAAAATTAGTATCTAATATGACAAGAAAATATTTTTGTACTACATTAACTATTAAAGATCCAAACATGTATGAATTAAATATATTGAAGAAGAAAACACATAAAGATATTAATATGTCGTTCTTTATATAATATCATTTAATGTTTTTCTAAGTTTTTTAATCTAAAACCGACGTCTAAAACTACTTGTTTAGAAAACTTTGATATATTCTCCATAATTTATCTCACATCGATCTTTTGATTGTTCCATTCTCACGTGAATTCTATTTTTATATTAGAATATGATAGATTTTTTTGTTATTAGGTAACAAAACCCCCATTTTTGGAAAAAAAAATTACCAACCATATAAGACGGTACAACTTATATTTATATTTAGAATAATAAAACTATAATTGTTTTTTCATAGTTGTTCTTTATTATCTAATATTTAGTGTATAAATCTTATGTACTATTCTATCTCTAAAAGAAGAATAAGATCTCAAACTATCACCAATATAAGTTTTTTTAATTTATATAATCGATGATTCCATAAAAGTTTGTTTTAACCCTAACTCTATGTTATTGAGTCTTCTTTTACGTAAGAAAGAGAGGAAAGTAATGGGAGAAGAAAAATATTCTGTTCTCGAGATTTTTTTAGGGAAAGGAAAAGAAAAGGAAAAAAAATTATATAAAAATTTATTTTTATTTCATTATTTTTCCTTCATCTCTCTTCTCTATTAAAAACACACAAAAAAAACTTTATTTTTCTTCTTTCCTTTTATTTTCTTTTCCTTTCTCATTCTTTCTTTCCTTCCAAAATTCGAAAACATAATATAAAAATTTAAAATGGTGTTAATCTTCTCAAATTCGAAAATATAGTATAAAAGTTTAAAATTGTGTTAATTTTCCCAAATTCGAAAACATAATATAAAAGTTTAAAATGATGTTAATCTTCCCAAATTCGAAAACATAATATAAAAGTTTAAAATGGTGTTAATCTTCCCAAATTCGAAAACATAATATAAAAGTTCAAAAAGATGTTAAAAAACATTAACATGAGATGACATGGAAAATCAACCTTTTTACATTGATTTACATAGTGTCACTCGGAAATCAGAAGAATCGACTTTGTGACTCCAAATGATATCATTCTATGTACCAAAAGTATATCATAGGATGTTTTTGATGATGAAACAAATTAGAAATGAGTATTGATTGATTCAGCGTTCAGAAATACTCGGAAAAATGGTTTTATATGAATTCAATGTTAATTCTGATGATAAAAACAATATATTGAAAAAATATTGTACTTATCGAGTGCCCTTTTTTACATCTCGCCCATGGTATAAAAAATGTCAGAAACGGGCCTGACTTGACCGCTATTGATATATCATTTTCGTAGTACTCTGCATGCACACAGTACTGTTCCACACTTGTACCTTTACCTCTGAAAGTATGTAGAGACAAACCAATTGATAAGGAATGTATTTATCAGGTACAAGTGTTGCAGAGATATGGACAGTTTGTAAGGAGATCTTCTTTGGATAGATTAGTAGCTTCAATCAGCTACTTAGAGTCTTGGTGCATGAAGATCTTCTTTCAATTGCCTAGTAGCTTCAAATCATCTTCAATCTTCAAATCAGCTACTTTGGAGTCTTGGTATGTATTTTTAACATTTGATCCACAGTTTCAAATCGATGACCTTCTATCTTTACATTGGCTAGTCTTTGATTTTGCCAAGGGCATAAAGTTTGTACCAAGAAACTAATAACTACAAAATGTTGATAGGATAGTTGAACAGATCAGAGAGTCATTACCAAATCAATTGGTGACCCAACACTTACTAGTCGTTGCTCGAAAAGAGCAAAATCGTGAATCAATAAGCGATACCTTGATGGTCGAAGGGGCGAAGGACTAAGGGAACCACACTTTAGATTATCATAGGCTAACGTTTTTTTATCAACCTATGGATACAACCAACCTATACGTCATCGAATTTGATGTAGGCATTAGTGTTGGCCATGATATTTCGAAAGCCTTAGGCAAAGAAAAAAACAAGGCCAATGAATAATTTTCTTTTGTTTAAATAATTAAAAACCACAGCTAAAATAATTTTAAGTTTGCAAGGTATTGTTATGTGGTTAAATACATGCTCATATTTTTACAAGTAATGTGTTACCTAAAAGAAATGATTAATAAAAAAATAATCACATTTATTTATTTATACAAAAGTGCCTATCTCTATATATAAACTCATATAGATTCTTTTTTTAATTAAATGAACTTAACCTTATTTGTTGTTGAATTATTGAATGTAATGTATCTTTGATTGAATTTTTGTGACGATCGTAAACTCTAAATTATAAAAAGAATAAAAGGAAATATGTTTAACTACATAAACAATCAATCGGAACTTGTTCATATATTTATTGGACTAAATCTTTGTCTAAGGTTGTGAGCTTAAATTATAAAGAAATAAAAAGATTTTTTACAAATTAGAGAGAAACCATCGTTAGCCCTATATAAAAAAAGGTAAGAGTTTAATTTCCATCCGTAACATTGCAATTTTCATCCCTCACGTATGTTAACTTTTTTCATTAATATTTTTTTAATTTTACACTAAAATTAAGAAGACATTATATTTTTATTTTATAAATTGTAAAATAAAAAAGGATAACTACCACCTTTTGTTTTTTGTTTTTTTTTTTTTAATTTAAAATTTAAATATGAAAATGTATTATGTTTATTCCTCTTTTAATAGTCTGGGGACTAATTTTAAAGTTTGGTTTTGGTTTTGGTGGAGGTTCAGGTTCCAACTTGGATTGCCATTGTTGTGCATGGATATGAAAAAATTAAGATAACATGGTTTTTATGAGTTGGAGAGATAGAAATAGAAACTCTTTCTTTCTTTAACCTTTTCTTCATCTCAACCAAATCTATCTTCTCATCATATCTTCTTCAAACAAACATTGCTCTTCCTTCTTTCTTCTTCTAAAAGCTACCACATCTATCTCTATCTCTATCTCTATCTCTAAGAGTAAAGCAACCAAACAAGTATATTACATGTCTTACTTCTACCTCTCATGTCTCGCACCATGTTAAGCATGTGGTACTTCTTGACTCAATGTGCGGTTTTTGTAATACAATATTTGATTTTTCTTACCATTTTTGTGTCTTGCTTTTTGTTTTTAGTATACAACATAATTTAAATTGTTTAATATCATTGACCCAACTTATAATAGTAAATAACATGTGTATATATATAATTATAGAGGTTGTTTCAAATACAAACCATGTAAATGTTACGTATCTTACGGACCAATCTCAACCGTCCGTGAAGATTATCAAATCAATGTCAATGATGTGGATTAAATCGGTTCCGAAATTTCCTCTCAACCTTATCTGCAACTAATTTGATAACGGCCTAAAATTTTCAAAATACACAAAATCTAGCGCTGAGATTGGTTTGTAAGGTGTGCAACATTTACATGGTTTCTATTTGATTTGTCCTCTATAATTATATATATACATACAAATTTGCCACTATAAATCACACCTTGAAAAACGTCGTAGCCTCACAGTGGCTCCAAAAGCTTGATGCTTGACTTCGCCGCCCCGCGACACTTAACGCCATTTAGAACCTTTTGCCTCTCCCACCCCAAAGAGTAAAGCAAATACAGTTCCAAAATGGGTCCTCATAGGAGCGATGGCAATCGGATTTTCGCATATCAAAACCACCAAAACTTGATGCCCCTTCTATCATATCCTACCAGAAGATGTATTTCAAGTTCGACCAGAACGAGAGTTGGGTTTTCGGGGCTTACTCAGAATCTTCAGCATGTTATCGGTGAGATCAGGAGGGGAATTTGGATAACCTTCATCTTTCTTTGCACCAGAAGTGTGAGTCAACCAGGCCATTGCCTCAACAGCAGCATCCCGTTCTGCAAGCTGTTTGTTTCTTTTCGGTTTTCCTACAAACTGCATTCCTTTGAATTCTACCAACGCCCTGAATTCATTTGTTTTTAAATGTTTTGATTTGTATTTTGGAGGAGAGTGGCCTGCCCTCATCAGCAGAGTTTGCAACAAACTTTTTGGGTTTGCTCCATCTCTTGTGAAACTATCGTTTTCAGGTGATTCTTTGGGCTTTTTGCTTTCACGGCCAAATACAAACCTCCCTTCGCATAGATCTCCCGACACAAGCTCCTGAATAGCAAGCATCAGATACTTGCCTTCTTTGTGGATGTCAACATTTGGATCTTTAAGCTGCCATGATTTAATACAAAAAAAAAAGATTTATTATTTCAACTAGAACAAAAGAAGCCATAATATCGAAGAGAGAGAGAAAGAGAAGCGGTTCAAATTGTCAGGTTCAGAAATTCTCATGTCAAAATATTACCTATTTACCCAATATCACCATCACAAAGAAATTGAAGCTATTGGGTCCACATAAACCAAAACAAATAAGCCTAGTATATCCCACCCTGAGTTGGGGTATGAGGAGGGTAGGATGTATGTAGACCTGACCTCTGTCTTAGTAGCATCTTGTTCAATAAAGATTAACATTTGAAGAATACTAGCCTTTCTGCCAAGTAGAAAACGATATCATCTTAGGGTAGGAATTGGAATAAACATTTTACTATAAGCGGCTAGAAAAAAGCAAGTTAAGTTGAGAAAGCGTAGATGCTTTATTATCTGTGAGAACTAGTACGCAAAACTAGGGTATCAGACTAGGGGTGGAGATCTGTAGAGCTATCTTGGACGGGTGGAAGGGAGCTGGAGAGGTAGAGGGTCATATATAGGATTAGTGAGTTAGGGTCTGTTTGTTGGCAGCTTAATGAGCTTTATGGGACTCGCAGCTTATTCGATCAGCTATACATGACCTCTAGTAGTGGCTTAATGATATAGAAAGTGACTTATTCAGTAAGCTTTTTAGGAGGGGAGGCTTTATGCAGAGCAGAAAGCCAAGTTTTTTTCTAAACCTGCCCCTTCCGAAAAAAACATGCTCCTTCCATCTATGAGAAAACCCTCCCAATCTGTACAAACAGATTAATCCACACAGACAACTTTATATGCAGGAGTCAATAAAAAATCAACCAAACAGCCCCTTAGACTAGGGTGTGTAATTTCCTTAACTTGGTTATGTTTTTTTCTTGTAAAACTGTTGCATTTTGTATGTCATGGCTTACTCTTAACTTGTTTTACAAATATTTATCATATCTGCCTCTCTCTATTTCACACTTTTCAGAAGTTTGGGGGTCTGCATGGAAACAAACTCTATTCTTTGGGCTAAAGGACAGGTCTGCTTAAATTTTTAACCCCTTCAACATTCAACCCTCCCCCCAGGCAACCGACCTCCAGGTAGGATATATCGGGCTCGTTTTGTTTGGTTATCTCAGGCAGGAACATCCTAGTCTGTATCATCCCATATTAGATGTTTACTATGGCTCAAAATTCCAGCTCTGTGCTGGAGCAAGAAACTTCTTGCTAAACAATGCATTAGGAGACGGTTCAAGTTTTTAAAAGGTAAATCAAAACCAGCAAATCAAGGTCTTAAAATATCTTTCCAAGATTAAGAAGAAAATATCCAACCAACAATGGTAACATAACCCCTCATTCTATAATTAGAATCCACTTCCTGAAATTTTCAATATAGAAAATGAGTTGTTGTAAGAGGTAAATGGGGGGGGGGGGGTTGGTCTTTTATACAGTAGATGAGATTCTTATTTTGGATTTTTTAAACTTTAAATCTAGCTTGGAACAGAATCAGTATGAAAGAGATTTCCGGAAGTCCACAGAAAAATTATTGCAGGAATAGATGATAGATGGCCTGCCCATAGCTCTAACTAATATCCCTACTTTGATAGCGCTAGAGTGCTTTCATTCCCCTACGGCTACGTGAAGATCAGGACGCGGTGCGTACGGTTGGCAATGGCAAGTCAGTCACATAGGCTTTTCTAGGTGGGAGGAACTGACTTGACTGGTGAAATTCCGATACTTAGTCATTCTACTGACAAAGAGAGGGCCCTTCGTACTTGGATCCAATCAAGAGGCCTGTTGAAAAGCGAAGCATTTTGTATAGTGGTGCCTTTGGTACGTGGGCCAGAATCAGACTGGACAGAACAAAAACTTGTTGTACCATGTTTGGAATGACATTAGACTGGGACAGGATGGGACTGAGCATTTTTCATCCCACCAAAATAGGTGGAACAAAAACCAGATAGATGGGAAAATATGATAAATTACTAAACTGCCCATGTCAAATTTATAGCCTAAAACCTTCCACAATTCTTTTACCAGCCAACCTCGCTCTCGTCTGTCCAGTACTGTCTGCGTAATAAACGCACCCTGAATAGCATGTGTGAACATTTGTTATAATGAATGTAAAGGTTGAGGTCTCTGACCTTCTTTTGCAAAAGCTGATCAAGTTCCTGCTTTAGGCTCACATAGGACTCCGCCAATGTAGGATCCATGAAGAAATCAATATATCCTCCTAGCATTTTCAAATGTCCAGGCTATCAAGGGGAAAGGCATAAATTAGAACCTGCAACAGCAAGACACGGCTAATAATATCTGCCACAATTGAAATTACCAAAACTCCATTGACTAGACCACCACCAAAGAGGATTAGAATCGAATCAGACACACCAGTAGAATCACGTATGAATACATTGTTGACCTTCACCTTTTCCCCAAAGACAAGCCAGGGATATGGAATTGTCTGGTATTGTTTGTTAACAGAATTCTGGACAAGTATCAAAATAGCAGTGTTAAATGGTTAGTTTGTAAGATTCAGGACATAAGATGAAGAAATCGAACGTCAAAAAGAACTTCTGATATCAATGAGCAAAAGCATATTGGACTTCACAAAATGAAAACAGAAATACAAGCTAAAGTTGATGATAATAATAATACTTGCCAGATAATAAACAGAAAACCAGTAAATAACCAGGTGTACCCGTAATACAGACATTGTTAGAGCATCTCCAACCTATTCTCCAAAAATGGAGAGTTTGGGGATTTTATGATACTTTCTTGCTCCAACATATCAACTTTCTCCATTTTGGAGAAAGTAGGAGAGAGATGGTAAAATTCTCCAAATTTAGAGAACTCCCTAAAGTTAAATGTTCAAGAGTGAGAAATATTTTTTTATCATTCCCAAATCCCACCAATAAGACTCTTTGGAATTAAATGTTAGGAGAGAGAAAAACACTATTTAAGGTATTAAATATTTAATAATATAATTTCGCTGGAATCTCCAAAATGAAGAAACTGTTAAGAGTTGGAGATTTTGACCTTTGATTCTCTGTGTTGGAGAATTTGTGGAGATGCTCTTTTAAGGAATAGAACTAATTAGCATCATCGAATATGGAATTCATAGGAATTACAGTATCACCAACTTTGGCAGCAGCAAAAAATTGTTCAAATGCACAATAATGTAAGCAAGACAAAACAAAAGGGGTTCTCTTAGTTGTCAGATTTTATGTCCGCATTGAATGAAGACCTCAAACCATAAATGCAACAGATTGAAGAGAAAGATATCTACTCCATGCTTAGACTTACAGAGATCAGACATGTATGTAATTATATAAATCATAGGATACTTAGGTATTATCTTAAAATATAGAGCAAAGAACATAGATTTTTTCTACACGAAGCAATTGAAAGGAAAGAGCAATGCTAACCTTACATTAAATAGATAAAAGGCACTCTAGTGCCAACTAAAATTAGCTCAAGTGCGATTAATAGCAGGGATCTCCCAGATATTTCAGGACAATAGGGGAAATATAGTTCAACTACAAGCAATGATCCTTGACCAATAAAAAGAAAATATTAAAAAGTATCTCAGCGGTTACATTACTTGAAACTATAAGAATCCAAGTGATTATATAATCTAGTTATTAATTATTAGTTTATTACGACAGCTGATTCACTTCTGCTAGATAAAACCAAATAAATAGATTCTATTGGAGTTCCATTGAGCTTGTTTGAGTAGGTATATGGGAGGAAGAGAGAGACAGAGAGAGAAATACTGGCAATCTTTTACCATAAGAAGCGGTGGCAAGGAGAGACAAAAGGCTATAATTTAGGTAACTGGCTCTAGAACCATCCAACTTTTTTTTTTTCCGAAGTATATAATATTTATATACGGCAAATGCAACAAATAAACTCACACRCCCTCCTCACCTATGGTGAGGTTTGAACCCCTGACCTCCTAGAAAGCCAAGGGCTATGATACCGCTAGGCCAAAGGCCCTTTGGTTAGAACCATCCAACTTGCAACAGTATGTAAACCAGAAAAATAGTGGGTGACAAAAAGATCATCCTCAAAAGAGAAAGATTCCTTATATTTCAGCCACAAACGCTTTGAAAATTGGAGTGTGGATATGGGTACTAGATACAACACGTTATCACAAGACTTGAGACCAATCCGTCTAAATTATTCAGACACCCATTATTAGCTGTTTTTTAGCATAAATAAAAATATTATTTTTCTTTGCAAGGAACTAATAGTTGCACCCTGGGAGAACTGGAATAAGAATGCATCCTCCTCCGGTTCAAGAAACCATTGAGTATGTGCAAGAAAAATGACCGGCTTAGAGCATGTCCAATCACATTCCCTACATTTAAATTAATGTCTAGTGGTGTGTTAATTATTTTTTAAGATTGTCACTCCAGCCATGCTCTCTACATTAATGACTATGCATTACTTTAATATTTGTTTACTTTAATAAATGCAATTTACCTTTTTCTAATTAATAAAACAAATAATAATAACCTAATGTAAATATATATTAGGGAACTCCCCACATGTGAGCAGTGAGATAATGTAAATTAGGGTAGGGAGTGATTGGAGTGATAGTTTTTTGGTTTTGGCTCCCTGCAATAGTTAAAAAGTGGATGTAGGGAGTGGGTTGGAGATGCTCTTAGCTGCCAGTGATAAAACTGACAACGGTTGTCAAGATTAATGATTAAAGGATATTTGAGATGCAAATATAATTTACTTTTCGGCACAACTGGCAATCCTTTGAGGACTTCAAGTATGATAAATCCTATCATGTTATGATTCTACAGACTAGGGCCCAATCTGGAATATGCAATGCCGTACTGCCAGCAAGCCTTATATAAGTGAAACTAATATGTGCATTAAATAAATAGAATTGGGGATGGAAGTGCCAAGGCTCCCTTTAATACTTACTGTATAGAGCCAGACCTGGCCATCATCCATAGTTTTGAAAGACATCGATGCCTCCCTGTGCTGCAGATAGAGAAAAAGGTAGAAGATTGATATTTGGTTTTCAAACATGAGAAAGAATGTGTAACATATAAATCCATCTACCAATTGTATTCTAAATTGAGTAAACATACCACTACAGATGCAATGCCAGGAAAGAGTCCTGAACATATAATGGCTCTAACCAATGATTGATTATGACTCAATCTGTTGTTAACGCCTGCATCAGCCTCAAGCAATAGAGCATCTTTCAAGATGTAGTTAAACTGATTCCGAAGAGAATGTATAGCCTGAAGCGTTTGGGCAGAAAGGAAATTTTTCCAGCAATACTCATAAGCGGATCCTTCTCTTTCAGCTTGTTTCCATCCTTCATATGCACGGACAAGAGCCATATGATCACTGTAATCCTTTGCAGAAAATCTAGATTTTGCAGTACTAGCTTTCTGAAACAGATGTACAGAAAATATCATCTATTACAAATCATGTATTAAAGCATAATGAGCAAACCAAAATCTTGGAAACTGTTTTCTGGCATACAAAGTGAACATCACATCTCACCATCTGTCACTAGACGTCTAGACCTATAGATGTTACACAGTGAGAGGTGCTGCGACATGAAACATTCAGTATTGTGCACGACTAAAACAATCAGAAAGAAAGCTTAAAGAAGGGGGAAGAAGAGTTTGTACAACAGAGGCTAGAAAAATCCACCAAGGATCTCTACAGAACTCACCCAAGAAGATTCAAGGGCCTCGCAACTAAGGGCTGACAATATCACTCAAATCAACAAATGTTCTATGAATCACTAAGAGGTGAATCTTGTTTGGCAAAAAAAAATTTGTCTCTTAATGGTTCTAAAACCCTCTGAATGATTTTGTACTTTGGGTCTCCCTTAAGGCCTTAACCATTGAGCACCCTAATTTCATTCTAAATAATTACCAAACAATTATATTTCATTTTGCACTATATTATAAGAGCCTCTTAATCATTCTGACCACTTAATCATTTGGCATCAAACCATTCAGCAATTACCAAACAGTCACAATGTGGCATAACATATCATGAAATACAGTAAACTACTGTAAATCTGCAAGTACTAAATGTAATATAATGGTAACGTAATCCCCAGTTACAGACAATCAAATTAATACCAAATGAGGTGTTAAATAAACTTCCCTGATGGTTTCGTGCTTAAGCCTATCCCAATTAGTTTGGCATAAGATGCTTGTAGTTGCTTGTGATGAATGTTGAAACCCCATCATTGTTCCCTCGTTTGAAAAATTCAACCTTATATCTTGAAATATTGGAGAATAAGAAATTGCAAGTGCTGTTGAGCCTTTCTATAAGGTAGTTCTGAGAAATAAACCCTAACATGAACTTGGTGTTAACTGAAGCTTATTGTATGAATTAGTAGTTTTTGATCCTTCTGACCCTGTTCATGATACAATGTGAAGACGGGGCATGAGTAATTTTTTGGGATGGTCAAAACAACATCTCAATATGATAGAAAATATCAAGGGATAGAAGACGATTTCTACAAGTCTAGATCGACAAGAAACACGAAACCTAATCCTTCCATATTTAAGGCAACCACTAAAGTAATTGTACTTGCCTAAGAATATTAAGCTATATACTAAGCACTCTCAATAAGGTAATTGACTTTCTATTATATCATATTTCCACCATCATCATGTGACACTGAATTTACAGGTGATTCTATTACTCACCTCTTTCTTCTCTGGAGGCAAAAGGAAAGGGTCTCTGACACTAAGTCCAGCAACAATTGTAAGAATAGGATCAAAGCAACGAAAGAAAGCACCCATTATTAGCATTTTCCCAAGCTTGGGATCCAATGGAAGCATTGCCAAATATTCACCTGTACAAAAACAAACTAATTAGAGCCCTCAACAAGGCAAGTTGATAAAAGCGAGCAGGGGTGTGTGTGTGTGTGTGATTCCCTTTGAATACAACTTCAGAAATTTGTATGTGTAGCGACAAATCTGCTCTCACATCATATTAATAAAATGTAAACTAACCAAGATGCGTAAGATTCTCATTCTCATCTAATGCTCCAATCATCTTCAAAAAATCCACAGCATTTTGGACCTAAAACCAATAACAAGTTAGCAACTCAAATCATCCATAGGAACATGGATTTATATTAAACACAGCATAAATTACAAAAAGGAAAGGATAAAATAGTAAGCCGTTCATTTCAAACTAGAACATAATTTGTTAAAAACTACCATATCAAGAATATCTTTTGTCCTCTATAGTTARCATAGTGACACTAGTGAGCCCACATTAAAGAAGTACAACTTATGTAATCAATATACATGTTACCAGGCACCATCCAACTGTAACGCCCCAATAGCATAAATTACAAAAAGGAAAGGATAAAATAGTAAGCCGTTCATTTCAAACTAGAACATAATTTGTTAAAAACTACCATATCAAGAATACCTTTTGTCCTCTATAGTTAACATAGTGACACTAGTGAGCCCACATTAAAGAAGTACAACTTATGTAATCAATATACATGTTACCAGGCACCATCCAACTGTAACGCCCCAATTCCTACTTCGAGTCTTGTTACCTTCTTATTGATACTACTAAGTCTTGAATATGAACTTGAAATTTAACTTCATTTATAACTTAGCTTATAATTACAACAAAGTTCAAATACTAGCGGAAACGTAACTCAATAGCTAATAGTGCAATAAAATTTTGCTATTGATTAGAACAAACTTCTTTATGCTATCATTCTTTACTCCTTCCTTGAGATACATACGTGAGATATGTAAACTAACAGCTTAGTGAGTAGTTATGGTTTCATGAATAAACAATTTTCATGATGCTTAACATTTTGTGAATAGTAATTCGGTGAAGCTCTTGCTTAACATTTTGTGAATGAAACTCTTGATTATGCACAAATTAATCTTTTTATCATGCATAAACATTCTTTTGAGATCCCACTTGAAACATGTAAGTATGCCATACTTGTCCTGAGGTTTGCTAACCCCCGGGTCCATAAAGGTTGCCCCCTAAGGTCTGATTGCAATGTCCCTTCTTGTAATATCTCGTACGTTGGATATTAACATGTAACACATATTTGTATCATAACATGTAAACACTTTCATGCCTTGGTGTAAAACAGATACTTGTAGCAAAACATGTCACCATGCATATCTTGTATAACATTTTCATATAAAGCAAACATGCCAAGATATTAGTAATGCATAAAATACTTTTATATAGCATGTATGTACCTCATAAATCTCATAAGTACTCACCCTGATTATGCCTAGCTTTCCCCTTAATTCCTTTCTTCAAGCTTGATTATGTATAACGAGAGAGATTTCTTACTTTTGGATGGAGCTAATAGTAACGCTTCAACCCCTATTTATAGGTAAATTCATTGCATTAGCTACTTGTTCTTCTTGCTCCCAAAATTGTACTCTTATGAGAGCTTAACACCTCATTTTTTAGGATAAGAGAATCTTGACACATCATGCTTAATGTAAAGGAATCTTGACACATCATGCTTCTAGCTTTAATTTGTCATGCTTCTATCTCTTGCTTGTCATCATGGATTTTACCAACACATGCGTCTAGCCTTGACAACTTATAACTAGCTTGCTTTGCCATGCTTAGACTTGCTTAGTCATCAAATAGCTTGCAAACACATACTTCTAGCCCTTACAACTCATCACTTCATGTTTGATTTCTCATGCTTTGATTTGGAAGCTACTTGCCTTATAAATATGATAGTTTAATAAATGCTACAGCTGCTGGACTCTTTTAAGAGTACTTAATTTACTTATAAAATCTTGTATTTAAGGCTTAAAAACATTGAGATTTGGCAAATAAAGAAACTAGGGTGTTACACCATCACCAATGTTTTTAAGTTAGAACAGGAGGTCTAATTTGGTATATTAATATATGCCTCGTCCTTGGAGATCTGCATAATTGTATCAGTAGTGCTTATCCATCAAATTCAGCATTGACCCACACCAGACAACAAATATACATTGGTTCACAAGTTGTGCATGCCATAAATTAACTAGCAACCAAATTCCACAGACAAATTCAAACATATATGATGAATGAGAAATGATCTTTTATTCCCAGTCTTGGCCTGAGAGAAGTTGAATAGGATGTTGCATAAGTACAACCACAAAATATACAGCTCAGTTGCAACCTTATATCAGCTTTTACAACAGCTACAGGTACTACCACTACAAGATCTACAGGGTTGTCAGCGAGCAGTTGGTCAAAAGGCCTTCTTGCCAGCAGGTAGATTACCCCGCCAACCTCACTTGATCACTCGAAAATTGGGAGTTTTGATGGAGGAAGAGACGTGGACCAGAAAAGAGACAAGCTACCAGCCAATGTTAATCATCTTAACATTGGTAAAAAGCATGTAGCTAAGCTTCAAATGCAGACAGATTTAGAAGCTCGATGTAATATCACTTAACATATGAACCTGATCCTGATGCATGAGATATTAGGGCATAGATATTAAGAGAGGTTAATACTTACAGCTAATGGTGCTGGTGGCTGTAGTGCAGCTGACAGAAATTCTCCAATACTACCAACCTGCAAACTTTTAATTTGCAAGCAAAGAGAATTTAAGGGAGTTCTTAAAAGCTCAGGTAGCTGATATTCAGAGAAAGCTTCAAAAACACATCGGGGATAGAGGTGGAAGCATTCTCCTGGTTGTACACGGCCAGCCCTACCTCTTCTCTGATACACAAAACAACAGAAACAACAAAAGAGCAAAGGCGAGGAGGGTGTGTGAGTGTATTCCGTATATATTATATATACTTAAAAGAATAGCATAGGTAAATAGTGAAACAGATTCTCATGCGCAGACCCATTAGGTAAACAGTTAAAAAGTAAAGACCACCCACGGTCATAAAAATAGAAGTCACTATATTGTTTTGCATCAGTGATTAATCCAAGATCTTTCCATAAACCCATCAACTGCTCATTTGGAACATTCGTACCCTTAATCTTGGTATTATGTTGTATTAAGATGAACAAATTGAGTAACCGACTCTAAAGGACCCTTAAACAAGAAATTTAGGCCTACTTCACTTCTTATAATTGAAATATTGAACAAAATACCAAATATTCCACCTCTAAACAAAAAAGACAAGCCATCATAAGTGTAAATAATCTTAAACTCCATGCCTTTCAAGGGAAAGGGCAATCATCAACACTGTGGGAGTAGAAAATTATAAATAATGCTTAGATAAATAGCATTTGCATAGGCATTAGGCATTATGCATGGAATTTGCCAAATCTTAATATCGCAGCTGAGCAACTACTAGCTTCATATTTTTGATTGAGTTGCCAGCTTAAGCATGGTATCAAAACTCTCCTTTTACAAAGTTATGGGTTAAATCTTCCCTGCTTGAATTTGCCACAACCAGCACCGTCTACAAGGAATGCAATTCTTCAACTTAAATGCATATTAATTGAAGCAGCTAATTATTAACAAAAAAACAAAATCTCTTTAAATTTACCTCCTACACTTGAATCAAAGAAAATCTAGTCAACCAAAATGATTAGCAAAAACTTCTTTAATAATTGCTATTGGGAAAAAAATTAAAATTTTCCAGAAAAGATGATGTATTTCTCATGGGATCCCAAAAGGCTGTTACATTTTGTGGAAAACAAAGGGAGCAAGTACAATTATGAGTCATCTTGAACTGGCACACTTCAACGTGGCATCCACGACAAGTCAAACTATAGGTAGCATGCAGTTCAACATCATCATTCTACTTCTGAAGCCAGACACTCAAGTTTTGGCAACTTAACATAATCCTAACTTCAACTTATAGCTAAGGTGGCAACTTAACAGGATTCAAGAAACTACATAGTATTTCTGGTAACAACTTGCTCAAACACTCTTCCAACTTTTCTCACTGCTTAGATCAAAACACATCATAAGCAACTAATTATCAATTCATTATTTGCAGAACAGATAGTACATTCATACAGAACAAAATCTTAGACCTACAAACAAGTACGGAAACATTATTAAAATTACCTACCAATCTATTTTTTTGTATTCAGGCCTATAGCTCTTTTTGCACCAAGTCCAAGTTGAACCATCAGAAAAATATCATCCTAGCAATGAAATTGATATTTCCTTTAAGAACTAACCAAGCTCTGACATTGACCTTAATAATTAAAAATGATCTGCAGCCGCCAACTAGAAATCGGTCAGTAGCATTTTTTCCTTTCCATCAGAAATGCGAATTTCAGATTCGACTTCCAAAGTATCAGCAAGGATCTGTGTCATGTTACAACCTTAGTAACATCAACAGGTAAAAGCTAATAAACGTCGTTTTATATATGCACCAATGTTCTAACTCACGGACAGAAAAGCTATAACATTTTATAGTTGTTTTGAATCATGTGTCATTTATTTCCTCTTTTACTTGCTTTTAGTGATAAAATTGATTTGGTCATGTAACGTATTTTCCTAAGCATTACTAAGATTTAGCCTACCACCAATAACTTCAGGATGGAAGACTTGTTTCATGGCCATTTTTCTGCAAGTCCAAACATCTAAAAGTAGAGGGTACAAAATCCAGCAATTCATTTGATCAAAAAGTTGCAAGACCTTATTCCCTATAAGAACACTAAAAGATAACTTACTTGCCGCGCAGATGCTTGTGATATCCATGAAGGTAGTAGACAAGGAGTATTATTCAGGGCATCATAAGTAGTCTCTTTAGCTTTTCCACAGTCAACCACAAAAACTACGTCATTTATTGTGATACTTGCTTCTGCCATATTTGTGGCGAGTACTATTTTACGCACATTTGGAGATGGCTTCTCAAATATGAGGTTCTGCATGTTGTCAAAGATATAACGACTGAAGGTAGCAAGTAAAACAGCAAAATGAGTGGAACAACGCATGCGAATATAATACAAGAGATAAGAGAATAGCCACAAAATTCAAATGAACAGTAGAGCATCGTCTCAGCCCAGTGGCACATGGATGATTACGGAGACAAAAACAGCTTGGCAGTTTTCCACATGTCCCCAACTTTTGACTATTGCTTATCAAATCTTTGCTCTCTAATGTGGTTTCAGCCAAAAACATTCTCTTATGCCGAGCTTCTGAAATAACAAAACAAAAGTGTCTTTCTAATCTAGTTAAAGACACAAAAACAACCCTAATTTGATTAAACAGCAGTATGTTAGAAAGTGGATGAACAACTAGTAAGGTAACTTCTTTTATGATCAGAAAGTTCTGATTTGAGTCATGGGAACATCCTTTTTGCAAAAGAATGTCTTAATCTTCGCAAAGCCAAGGAGCCTTGGTGCAATAAATTTTCCCTTTGATGGTATACTATAAAGCACTGTGGACTGGATACACTGGCTTAAAATAAATTTTAGCACAGGCTCCATAGTTAGTGATCAGTACAGCAAAATGGTAGCAATTCTACAATATATTTTTATGATAACACACAAGTACATAAATGAACACAGATAGCAACAATGGAAAGACAGAAACTAATGAAATACAGTGATGATTTTTAGCTCTACTCTGCACAAATATGATTTTTTCTTTTTTCCTTATTTGTTACATGAAATGTGTATCATGTCACTTCTCAGAATGTAACTCATGAGTGGTACTGGTTTCTAGTAGTGTGAAGGAATCGGTGTTAGAAAGAGGCAGCAGCCATATTATCCTTTCAAGTTGGAAAATTTTGTTATACTAAATACAGTAAGAACTAATGTAGCTCTTCATGCACAATTCTGCAAATACAGGAACGGTACAAGTAAAAAAAACATAAGAAAAAAGGTATAACAAGACAAAACAAGAAGCAAATCAGTGTTCTCCTACAATGTGATGAAAATAGTAAAAGTATTAAGACTTGAAGACTATTTTAGAATGATAATGCCAATAAGTAAAAAGAGAGCGGATATAAGGGATAACTAACCGAGGAAACAGAGAGAGCCATCTAAATGGTGGCGTTCTCCACCATGATGCAAAAATACAAATATACAGATTAGAAAAATATGAAGAGATTGTTTTAAAGTGCTGAATTGGTATTGGCAAGGTTTTAAAGTGCGTAAACATGAGGCGAGGCGTTTTCCCTTGGCGTGGCGAGGCAAGCGTAAGCCTCAAAGCAGTCCGAGGCGTAAGCCCCAAGGCGGAAAATAAAATAAATAAAATATTTTATGTATATTAATACACATCTAATAATAGTATTAAAATCTCAAAATATATTAATAGATGTAGTTGATATTATAAGATTTTAGTTGTATCACTTATTAAAAATACATAATGTATGTATACAAACAAAGAAAACCTATTGGGACGGTGGACCATGGACACAAAATGTAATAATATATTTAACCCACATAATATTGTCAATAGACAATGCTGTAAATATATTATATTTCCTTACTCATTCTCTATTTTAATATATATATATATATATATATATATATATATATATTATATCTCCTCTCCCACTTTGAATATTCTATGTGGGAGACTCCAGAACCGGATAAGAGCTCGTAAAAGTTAAATGGAGGAGATGAGGTGTATGGAGAACTGCAGAAGAACTTCAAAGGACTGGAGGAGACGAGCATGAGGGAGCAGAGAGAAACCTATGTATTTTAAACCCTAAATCCATAATACCTGAGCATTGCCTCATCTCCGCCTCATGCGCCTCAGCCCCGCCTCATTGACGAGCATCAGGTTCGTTTTACCACCTCCTCGCCTCGAGGTGTACGCCTCAACCGATTTTTACAACCATGGGTATTGGACATGCTAGAAATTCAAGAGCAAGGTGAGGGAGAAGTAGTATCAGTGAGAGCAAAAGGAGAGTTTAAATTCGAAAGAGAGAATGGCAATGACAGTCCTGCTATTCAAGTATTGTACATTCAGATTTTAGATCTGAGCTATGGTCCGCTTCTTATAGCAAGCTGGCTGAGCTAGCTGTCTAATCCTCATGTAAAAAGCAATGAGAGCGTCACCATCCAGCAACCAACATATAAACCTTCTAAGTGACTTCAGTTTATACTAACGGTTAGTGAGTCAAACCTCCAAGGATGCAGGGATTTAACCATTTTCATCTTAGTATCGACAGGAAAGCCCAAACAATTCCTGATTTTAAATTTCTCGGATAAAGAGGCCGAGATCTTTAAATACTATGATATCCGGAAAATATGCTGACTCAACTTCCCATGTTTCTGTCATCTATAGATTGATTTTGCAGGAACAACTGTCAAGATAATGATATTATAGTACTGTTACAGTAGTGGTAGTAAAACAATCAAAATAGTACCTGTTCAGACGTTGCCATGGAACCATGGCATGTTAGCAAATGAACCCTGTTAGGATCCCCAAGTAAAGGATGGGATCTAAGTTGACTTTTCAAACAATTTATATCATCCCAGCCGGTCATAAATACAAGGACGGCACCTGGTCTTTCCTTACGGCAAATATGGCATAAAACTGCCTCAATAAGATTAAACCCAATAACATCCGGTGTCCAGCAAGACAGAGATTCGCGTGCCTTGGAACTATAATTTTCAAGACTTGATTGACTCAAGGCATCCTGTGGAATAGTGACACGATTAGACACCAAACACACTTTCCATAAATAGAAGACCGTTTCAATGTCAGAAGTTATATTAGGGTTGAGCCTAGATTTACACAAGAAGAGCTTACCTCAACAAGAACAGTTATCTGGTTTTTCCTTTTGCGTGGAACTAGCTGTCTTTGTGTTTTCCACAATTTTTCTTGGCCGTAATCATCAACTTGGTTGAAAGGAGTCAACTTATACCCAGTGATTTCTATTATGTCTTCTAAAAAATGTGCCCTCACTGGGTGAGTGAAGCCCTGTATTTAGAAAGCACCACATAAAATATCAGATCCGACAACATCCTACAACAAGATGAATGTTTATCTCATAATAATATGTTCTTGATGAAACTAGGACAATGGACTTCATTAGGGAGTATTAAGACTTATCAGCAACCCAAGCCAACCTTTCATTAAAAAGGTACTCTCTCCCATCCACATACATAATAATTCACCCAAATCCAACCTAATGTTTTTTAGATTCATTAGTGACCCAAACCAACCTGAAATATTTTTTATAAAAATTAACAATTTAATGTTTTATCATCTCTAATATATTTTTGTATTATTTTAGATTATAAAAATATTTTTAAAAAATATTTAAATATTGATCTCTATATGTAGAGAATTGAAATTTAGGGATTTTGGTATCGTTTTTTGATAAAGCTAATGTCATTTTTATAGTTAAATAAGGTTTATCCAAAAATACAAATTTTCCAACAAAGAAATGGCTGCCACATGTCAACTTCAAGGGAGTGAACTTTGGCAATCTTGTTTCATCAAACGATCAGATCGTGTATTTAATTGCTTCTTCGTTTTCTTTTTACTTTTTGTGTATTTGTCTTATTATCAATCGGTTGCCACCAATGTGCTCAGGATGAAACCAAGCCTGAAGAAAAAGCAACCCCTATGCACTGGCTCAACATTGACCAAATTAAAAATTTAGCCTCAAGACCGTCAGACATCGTTCTGGAAAATGTGAAGAAGTTAAAAAGCTAGCTTATAGCTAATCAAACAAAAAAAATTCAATAAACTCAAAAAATAAGCTAGCTCATAGTTGTCAAACATGTCAAAAATTAAAAACAACTAATTAATTTTATATTTATTTTAATAATTAATTTTTTCCAAAACCTTTAAAGATCAAATGTAGTTATCTTGACCCACAAATTAATTCAAATCTATGAAACCAAATATCTTTATCGGAAATAAATATTAATTCAAATTTCTAACAAGCCTGAAATATGGTAATATAACAAGATAAGAGAATCTCTTACAGGAATGTGAATCATTGGTGCACCTTCAAAGTAATTGGAAAATAGCTCGGCATTCAGTGTAGCACTCATCAGTATCAATCTCAGGTCTCTTCGGCGTGGAAGAAGATCCTTTAATACAATCAATAGGAAGTCTGAAAATTAAGAGCAAACAATTAAAAGATCCTGAAACAAAATCAATCATAAATGCTCAAACAGTGAAGCAAACATTTTACTGCTAGGCAGTTAATAGCAGCCGTCTAGCAATGCTATAACAGTTGGTAGTGATCGAGGAAATAATGGTGATCAAAGAGTGGTCCATAATAACAGTCCAGTGATTACGGAAGCTATTTACCACTATTTGATAGCGAAATGGACCTCAAATAGCTGCTATTTTTAGTATATTAGAAACTGCACCTTCATTCATGCCTCGCTCATGAATTTCGTCAACAAAGACATGGGTTACACCATGCAAGTTGTGGTCACTCAACAGCCTCCGAAGCAAAATACCACTTGTACAGAAAAGCAGGTGGGTGTTTTTCCCTTTCATCCCCTCTAATCGAACTTTGTAACCAACCTGTCAAAGATCACCACTGATAAGTAAATGGGAGATTGGGATCTAGAATAGAGATCTTTCTTTAAAAACAAGAGAATAATGCCAGACATTAACTGGTAAAGGCGATGCACAAGACTTTTGTCATTGCAACTAGGTTATGAGTAAAGAAGCCTCACCGATTCACCAAGAGGCTCTCCCCTTTCAGTAGAAACTCTTTCTGCAACGGCCATGGCAGATATTCTCCGAGGCTGTGTACAAATTATATTACAGAATGCACCACGACCAGATTCTATCTCAGACTCCAATATGTATTGTGGAAGTTGAGTAGTCTTGCCACATCCGGTCTCTCCAGAGATGATAATAACCTATCATCATAAAGTAATCCTGTAAGATAGTATTATATTTATGCATATATACATGGTCTCTTAATGCTCCAAAAACTGAAAACAAACGTTTTTCTATATGCATGAGGCTTAATATTGATAAATAAAGATAATGTAAAATTTGATACTTTAGCATGTGACAACAAAAACAACCAATTATCCACGAGAACATCTAACTTTTATCATCTCAGGCTGCCCTCATTCAGGCTAAACCTCCACAGTGTATATCATCCAAAAATTTCCAACAAAAGTTCAATGGTGAACATAGTTATTAAGGTATCGTCTGGCAATGACAGTCATCAAGTAACTCCACTGATCACGAGATGTTCATTCATATTTTGCTTCTTTACCAAAATTCTCCATTTACTTTAGTTTTGTGCATTTTAAGCAAATACCAACCCCTGTGGATGAATAAGAGTAGATGAAACAGAATCTAAAATTAACCGTCTTCTTAAAAACTATCTTCCGATTTTATTTGGTTACAAAATGCAAGAAACTGTTACAAACTGCTAATAATTATTGTTAGAATATATTGTAAATATTATGTCTGTTTAGGGTTTCTGTTGGGCCGTACGGGCCTTTGCTTATTTGGGTTTGGGTTTCTTATTTGTGTCTATATATATGCACGCCTCTCCTTTGTAATTATTCATTCAGAAAATAAGAATACTTCTTCTCTCTGTCCCTCTGATCACAATTATCAAGAAAAATATGGTAAGATCTGATTATTCACTCATAACCGAATGAATCTGGCTTTCGAGGCCAAGAACTCTCCCAAGGGTTGCACGCAATCGATTACAAAACTCACACCTAATTGATTCCACTTTCTTTCTATTTATACTTCTCTTCTAACAACCGACAAACCTCACTCATTGACTAATTGACCAACCCCCCACAATTGACTTATTGACCGGCCCACTATTATCTATATGTGTAACAATACCCGCCCCCCAAATATCCACCTTGTCCTTAAAGTGAAAAGAAAAAATAAAGAAATTGATCCGTTCCTCTTTCATCCAACTCCTCTATGGCTCAATGATCTTTATACCCAAATGCACCAAACTTCTACTGGATTGTTTCTTGCAGAATACCTTTAGCCTTTTCTTCCAAAATTGCATCAAATGCCTACGCGTGACACTTTCAGCCGTCACGATCCACCCGTTCAGATTTGTTCCATTGAGTATCAATGTCTTTTGCCTCGAAATTCTGAAACTTCTCCACAATCGGAATTTATACCGTCTTCTTTTGGTTTCTCCATGCCCAAATTGACATGTTCATCCTCTTTTCAGCTCGTAGCTCTCATCTCCGACGTATCTTCTTGCTAATTGATCAACACTTCCATTCGTTTCTTCAAGATAAGAAAAAATTCCTTTTATTGACTTGGTCACAACCTGCACCATTTTGATGGTGCTCTCCAAAAAATTCCCGAACTCTCCCTTTCTATTAAGTGCATGTCCATTGGCTAACTCCCTTACCACCCACTTTATTTTCCCAGATCCACCTGTTATTCCTCTGGACAGCCACCTTGCTTTCTGGAATTTTACTCTTGTAACCCCTTATTGTTTTCTTTCCACATAAGTACCTCTTGGATGTTGAAAACCGCCATAGTAATTAGATGATCTTTCTCTTTATTGTCGTAGATAGACAACAAGCACACCATCTTCAACAGGTTCCATCAAATTCTCCGTCCTTTTGCATTCCTGTATCCCACTCCTCATTCGGTCCAAGCATAAGCAACGGAAGTTTGTTCTTCAAAAATCGTTCAAGATTACTAACCTGATTGATCGGCAATTACTTCCGTTTTCTCCATCGGGTTGATTTGGCGAGTCTCGATTTTTTTGGTTGGGCCAAACTAGACCTGTATTATTGGCCCAAACTTGAGATCCTAAAAACAAAGGCCTCGGCCCCCAATTCAGCAACCACGGTATCACTAAAAAGTTCATTTCCCTGATTTACGGCCTTCCTTTTCTTCTTCACATGCTCCTTCTTGGACTTCTATACGACAGCAGCCGAGTCACCAGAAATTGAACGTCTCCGTTGTATATATCTCCTACATCTCCTGGCCAGAACAAGTCTCTCCAACGTTTTTGGTTCTCGGTCTGATTTTGGCTTCAGATTCGCCCTTTCTCCTTCCTTCTCTCTCTCATCTTGTTTTTTCTTTCTCGTTTCTGCCAAGACCCTAAGTTTGCAATCTTCATGATCAATTGATTGTTCTTGGACAGAATTCAAGTCTCTTTGAACTGATTCTATTCTGATTTTCCACTCTTCTTGACCCGCATCCTTTGTGGACTTCATCGAAGTAATATCCTCCATCTTTTGCGCCATGACAAGCATGCTCCTGGTCGATTCCAGAATCGACTGCTCTTACCAATTGTTACAAACTGCCAATGATTATCAAGAAAACTACGGTAAGGTCTGATTATTCACTCATAACCGAATGACTCTGGCTTTCAACAGGCCAAGAACTCTCCCAAAGGTTGCACCCAATCGATTACAAAACTCACATTTAATCGAGTCCTATGAGTTCTGTAATTGATTGGGTGCAACCCTTGGGAGAGTTCTTGGCCTCTCGAAAGCCAAAGCCATTCGGTTATGAGTGAATAAGCAGCTATTACCATAGTTTTCTTGATAATCATTAGCAGTTTGTGACAGAAATTTTTGGAGTAAGGGCTTCTCACTGACCCGAACACATATCCAAGCCACTTTTACCTTGATATTTACAAGGCAATCAGTATGTTCTTTTTGTCTCATTGATTTGATAAAGTTTATTTTCGTAGATACTTGGCTAAATTCTCAGAAGTTTTAGCCAGTTCAACTCCCAACTCTAGCTGAGAAGTTGAGTACCCTTCTTTTTTTTTCAGGCAAGCTTCTAAAAGAGCATTACCCCACCCAATCTGCTTTTGGTAAAGGAAGGAAGATTACAATGGCTCCTCAGTAGAGGAGGAGAGGCCATGGTCCCCTTCGGTCAATCGTCTTTGTGGCTCCTGTTGTTGTGGAGCCTCTATGTTGTTGGTTCCCTATCCCACTGCCAAAAAGAAGACGGCAACAATCTAGCTCCTCGTACTACTTCTCTCAGTAAATACCATTCTTTCTGAGGCTCTGACAAGACCAGTATTCTTTTCTGAATTTCTTGCTTTTCCCTTTCAGCTTCTTACTAGTACAATCATGATGTATTTCAGCTTGTTCTTAATTACACTAGTTAATCTAAACAATCTTGTTTTTTCGATTGTTCAATTATACTCTGTTGGTCTCAAACCTTCATTTTCTTCAAACATTCAACCAGAATCTACATATTAATGTGTTTTTCATACATATAATAACATTTCAAACACTGAGCATAGTTATGTATCTTGCTAGGTAGTTAAGCCAGTTTAGCTTTTGACCACAACCTATCAACCTCAAAATTGAAGTAGAAAGAAAGATGACCAATGTCCTTGGTAGAATGAATGTTACAGCAGTCAGAGGGTTCACCATCAAACAGAAAAGACAATACAAACTAAGAAAATGATCAATATGGAATGCTCAGCCACACAAAATGAATATCAAAAAAAGAATCAAAGATAAATCCATCTATAGCATATCTAATATTATTGAAGATAATTCCTAGTACAAGAAAGTATGATCCTGAAGACAAACCTGATTCTGTGCAATTGCTTGAAGCAGTCTTTCCTTCTCTCTGAATGCAGGAAGAGACATACGTGCCAGTAACATCTTCTTGCCTTCTGGTGATTCCTGCAGATACAATGGGAATCTTTAAAATGCTAGAACAATTGCCAAGAGCAAAATTCATCTTTAGATTCTCTAAAGTATCAACAACTCAACAAGAAGCTAGCATCACAAAACCAACTACATAAGATCATCCTGCCTTGACAATGGATATGCTGAAAAGCTGCTGATTTGGCCATTTGTATGAAAAGATAGTGTCAGAGTCAGAATATGAAAATAATAATTTTAAGTACATTGAGGAAATGTTATATGTGAACTAGTCATGGAAACTAAGTAAGGATCAATGAATAAATGGTGGAGAAAAAAGACAATGTACCTCTGCTTACAACAATTTCAAACTAAAATAAATTCCAAGATAGTGCCAACTTCAAACTTTTGTTCAAAATGCTCAACAGCAACTCATTTGTTATGAAAAAGACTTTTATGAAAGATACACATAATAAATTGAAGTGGTAGATAATCCAATCGTAGTTTATCCTACTTCCCAACTGGCAACTTGCAGATTGAACTTCAACAACATGTTTAATAAATCTTGTCTTCGTAGATTAACTGGGTTCTTTGTGTGAGAGTGAATATCTTTACTAATGTTTTCCTGGAAAAAACAGATCAAGTTGGGAAAAGGATTATGCCAAAAAAATCCAAAAGTGACATTATCACATGGAAAATCTATGAAGAGGCATGAATCTCCTCATTCCATCGTATACTGCATTTATAAAGTTTAGGGTTTAGGGTTATATCAAGCAGTAGTGAAGCAAAAATTATTAAGAAACTAACAAAGAAAAGAAGACCAAAAACTTATGGTACATACATTCATATATACTTATTGACATTTTATCATGCGTTTGAACATTAGAAATACAATAATGCATCAGCTTAGTGTAACAACGCATAGCCAAATATTGTCATCATCAACCTGCCCATATTATAGACTTCACCACTTCCAAATTGATTCAATCTCTTCTAATTGTAGTCATTCAATCATTAAGACGATATTAAATTATTATATGAGACCAACCTCCACTTATTTTGACATATTCAGACTTAAGGAGGAACCTTCACAGAGCAGCAAAGAGTGAGAGTTATGCAAGCAAAATGAAGTGGCAAGTGCAGAATAACACCAATTTAGCATATAACAATAAAAAAATAAACAATCCACGCACAAGAATGCAATAATTCGTATCGTAAAAGCTTTCTCTGCTGTTTTTGGTGTTCAGATGGGGCACTAGGTTATAATCAATGTATTATGGTAGCTTCTCTTTTTTGGTGCCTATCAGATGTGTATGTATTTAGATAGCAAATCAACCCGCTGCTTCCATTTATGTTTGAGATGCTGATACTAGAGACGTGTTCCCACGTTGTCGTTTGTACATTATAGTACTCAAATATTTCTTACCAACAAATAGATGGCAATGAAGATCAAGACCATATTGTTCAAGCACTCAACACTGGAAAGTATCCACAACATTAAAGATAGGGCTGGCAATAGGTAAGGGTAAACCCGTTACCTATTATGTTTCAACCCGTTGGATAAGGGTATAGATAAGGAAAATTTTATCCATTTATCCACTTATCTATTACCCATTTATCCGAGATTTTAATGGGTAGGGTATGGATAAACTGTTTTTCATTACTTACACACACATACATATACATGCATATAAATCTTGGTTTTAAAAAGCGCGATGCGGTCCGATGCGTTAAGGGTCCCAGAAGCCGATGCGTGATGCTGATGCGCTCGCATCACGCACGTGATGCGCCCGATATTCACAAAATATTCATAAATTAATTCTACATATCAATTTCTACCTTAAAAATACTTACCTATCAAAATACTTCATTTATAACATAAAGTAGTTAAAAAAGTGGCATTAGAATCTTAAAAAGTTCATTTTCTACTTCTTTGCTGGTTGTCGAGTATCGACAACAACTCACGTCACGTTTTAATTGATATGCGATGCTAGGTCTCTCACAGTGCGACTTCTACTTCTTCGATGTCGGCTTCTTCTATTAGGTCTCTCACAGTCTCACGTTCTATTTTACTTAACTAAGAAGCCCAACTAAAAACTGAAAAAGGGAGCCCAAAAATGCAGCATACATGATGCGCTGATGCATAAGTGATGCACGCATCGTGTGATGCGTAGGTGATGCGAGCGCATCATGGAATCGCAACGCATCAGACCCTTTGATGCGTTTTCTTCAGCGCATCGCGCATCACAGCGCATTATGCGCGCATTTTTAAACCAAGATATAAATTATATAAAGTTAAATATTAATATATTTTTTAGAATGTAATCTTATGTGTTGTATAACTATATTCATCCGCTAAAAGAATTAATTAGGATAATCTTATGAGAAGCAATATGGGGTCGCTAAAATAAATATAACAAACATAAATGTTGTCTTTAGATTTTTATATTGTTGTGTAAAATATCACATTATAACATATTTAAAAACAATATCACAATGTTTATTGGAACAAATTAGATATAAAATAAAAATTATATTTATGAACTTATATTTTATTTGTATGTTGATGTTTAACAATATTATTGTAGTTCAAAATGATTTTTTTTACCATTTATCCTTTACCCGTTTCTTTACCCCCTATCTTAGTGGGTAGGGTATGGATATGGATAAAAAAAATTATGACATGGACAATACCGGTTTCATTACCTGTTATTTTAAATAAAATGGGGAACGAATTAACCCTTACCCTACCCATTGCCAGCCATAATTAAAGATGCTAACTTATCAAGAGTACAAAAATAACTTGAAAATACGTAGATAATCTAAAACTTGATGCACCTCCCATGCTCGTTGCATATTTCGCATTTGCAAACTCCGCCTCTGAAGAACCTTTTCCATAAGAGACCCATCTACCAAAGAATCTGGATGACCACCATTGTTAACAAGCTCAGCCTGATGACTAGTTTCACTCTTACTAGAAGCAACATCTCCGGAATACAATTGCATTCGATCAAGATGCTCTTGGAGCAAACCTTCGACTCTTCTTTGCAAGCTTAATGGGATAACTACCTACACAAATGGACCATAAAGTACCTGTCATTAATTCCATAATTCCTCGATAAAAGATTCCATATGAGTGCATTTGGTACCTAGACGGTACTAGACAGGACCGAACGAGCGAGATTGAGATAGGCAGATAAAAGAATTGTGCAAGGTTTTAGGGTTATAATTTGACATGAGTAGTTTAGTAATTTACCAATCTAGTCCCATCTCCCTGGATTGTTTTTTATTTTTGTTCCACCTATTTTGGTGGGATAAAAATGTTGTCCAGTCCCATTCTTGATATCGCACCAATTGTGGGACATCAAGGTTTTGAATTATCTTGTCCTGCGTACCAAACACACCCTATGAGAACCACCCTAAAAACAACAAATAATCTATACCTCCCGTTGGGGCCGCTTATCGTCAAGATCTGGCCTGTAGTTGGGAAGAGGCACCTTGCTCGCAACCACCACTTTTCCATACATTTCACTGAACACCCGATGGTTAGTGTGAGAGGTGAAAAACACCAAATACATACATAGTCATGAATACAATCTGAATCGCGAAAGAAATAAAAGGCCGTAGCTATGAAGTCAGCTACCAGTAAAGGCCCATTCTCTTGGCAAGATTAGATATTTGCTCAAAGTCTCTCTTGTCTCTCTTATCTCTGGTCACAATCTCTTGGTCCGTTCCGCTATTTAACAGCATGCTAAGTTTCCACTTCCACTCATCAATATTTGCCACCGATGATGATGCCTACAACACCAAGTTTTGAAATTCCATCTTTAATTTGTACACTGGAATAACTCGTAATATTACTGCATCAAAGGAGCTACACTTGAATTTTAATAATCATTATCTGGAAACCTAATCAAATGAGCTACACTTGGACTTTGGATGTCAAACATGTTAAATTCAACTTCAAGATGGATTTGAACGCAACATTTGAATAGAAAACGACACCAAATTTATACACAAGTACTTCAAATGGAACGACTTTAATATTAATAAGTACCATATGATTCAACACGAAAGAGTAGAACAAGTACCGGATGGTTCTCGTAATCGCATTCGTACTCATCGTCTGAGAACTGATCAACTGCATGGCCACTAATATAACGTCTTCCGCCGCAGTGCATAATCGATGAAAGGAACCGGAAGAAGGGACCTCCATGGTTGATTTTTGAAGAACTAAGTACCGCACTTGTTGAGGGATTGCTTAGAGTATTGTGTGTGAAGATTCTGAAGAAAGTAGCAAGGAGCGGAGGTTTTCTTCTGGAATTGCATGCCAATAGAAACCCTAACCTGGAATGCATAATGTCGAAGAAGATTGGGGCATAGCTCCCTGGTTACTTCCAGTGGAGCGTAGGCGGGAGGAATTGTAACAAAGAAACCCAAAAACTATTGCAACGAAGGGGGTTCCATAAACAAGCAGCCAAAACTAAGAGGGCCTAAGGGCAACTCCAACTTCAAACCAAAAAAAACATCAAAAACACCAAATATGATGGGCCCATAAACACTAAAAAAAAATTCAACTCCAATCATACTCCAAAAAAATCATCACCAAATTTGTGGACCACACATTAAAATAACTCAATCAACCCCTAAATTATTAAATAAAAAATGGTTTTTAATACAAATTAATGGGTCCCACTGGTTTTGTCGTTCAAGAAACCCACGGCATATTTGCCGTTCAAATAAGGGATCCGGCAAAACCTAAATTCATTTGCCGGTCGATTGGAGAAGTCACAAACGGCAAATCCCTAAAATTGCCGGTTGATTCGAGATGCCCTAAGAGGGCAAATTGCATGTAAAGTATTTCTAACTTGTTTCCTTTTTTTAGACAATGTAATTTTAGAATTTGCATTTTTGATATCTAAGATATAAACTTTTAAATATTTAAATAATCGATTGAAGTATTAATTCTTTCTTTTAATAAGCCACAATACATAAAAACTAATTTTAGATTAATATATCAATATCAGCAAATAATATTGACTTGGATACCACATCACTCACGACATCAGCATGGTAACCGGTTAATGCTTCAATTAGTTACCCGGGTTCTTAAATGTTTGATACTTTACATCTTAGGTACCAAAATAAAAGTTTTGAAAGTACTTACCCAAAATAGGAATCAAGTTAAAGTACATTATTTTTTCATACAAATTGTCTATAGTAAAAAAAACAAAAAATAATGGGATAGATTTGAGTTATCTTTGCTACATAGAAACACCTCCAAACTAACACAGAAGTTGGTTCGAAGCTTATAAGCTAGTTGACGAATAGAATTATGTTTGGCAAAGATTATCTTATAAGCATGTAAAATGACCAAAATGACATCTTAGGAAAATAGTCAATTACAAATATTTCATAATATAATTGAGATAAATTTATGATAATATTCTTAAATTTGTATATGGGTAATCAAATTTTATTACTGTGTGACATTCTTTTTGGGTACATCAATATTTATAGTAGAACTAGGGATCAAAAGAAATGAAAGGATCCTATAAAAAAAGGAAGCAATATTGATGGAAAACTATCAATGACAAGAATTTCAATATGAAACGAAGGTGGATAATCTCCAGTCTCAACACTCCCCGTCAAGTTGGAGTGTGAAGGTCTCGAACACCCAACTTGCCACGTAAGAACTGAAAATGCTCAGAGCCTGAGTGACTTGGTGAAAATATTCGTTAGTTGAAATTGAGAAGCAATGGCGCATGGTTTGATATATCCACTGTCCACATTCTCATGCACAATGTAACAATTCATTTCAACATGTTTTATGTGTTCATGGTACATGGGATTGACGACGATGTGGCGGACTTCTTCGTTATCACATAACAATGGGTGGCACCTAACTGTGTGGCATCYAAAACATGTAGAAGCGAACGTAAGSATAGCACTTYGCAAACAATGTTCACCATRGCTCGATATTCRACTTCRGCTRAAGATYGAGACAYAATGCTTTGCTTCTTTGGTCTCCACGAGATTGGTAAGCCACCAAGACTGATAAAATAACCGGTGCATGAAAGTCTGGTGGATGGGCAACTCAACCAACTAGCATCGCAATAGGCCATGAGTTGCAGATTTTCGGTTAATGGCAAGAATGATCCTTGGCCTGGAGTGGCCTTTGTTGATCCTCTCTCTTAGTGATTTGATGATAATTCCTTTTATTCTATACGAAGTATTTTTGTTTCTGTCTTTTCAGTTCCATCGATCTGCACTGAGTATGTTCAGTGATTGCTGAAGAACTTGTATTGTAAATTCAATCAGCGATAGCGATACTTGAAGAAGACAACACTCACACCAAAGAACCTTCAGCAAATGTCAAAGACTGAAACTGAGGATTAGAGACTGGCGAGTACGTGATCTGAAGAGGGATTCAATGATTATAAGCCTGTCTACATATGTGTGAAGACTGCCCAAGCTTCAGTTAATGCTGAAGAGACCTTCAGGTTATTCCAGCATTCAGCGATCAAATGAAGCTTGTTAAGCACGATTGTTGTTTTGTCCTTATATACACAAAGGACAAACCCATACCCTTTCTAAATGTTAGTACGGTACAGAGCCGACTAGTTGACTATATTGCTCACTAACTTTGTGAAAGGATGTATGTTCATGAATAGGCTTTTGTACTATTCACTGTAGCAATGGACAAGCCTTCCTCTTAAGGCTTGACACGCGTTCTAACCCTACCATGATACATTAAATGTACATTTAATGCAACTGGTATAAATAGATGTGTTCTATCTCCATGCAGAGATACACTCTAAACCTAAAACCTTACTTTGAGATTTCTTGCGCTTAAGTAAAAGAACACACATCTAAGAACAAATACGCTCATCTTCAAGAGCAAGTTAGAATCCCCTTCATTGTATTCTAAACAAGTTCCCAGATAGAACTTACTTTCTTTTATTTCTTTAACATCAAATCTTTTCTTATTTGCTAAGATTTAGTGTGTAAACTTAAGATTGTTTAGATAGATTTTTCTACCTTATCTTTCCGCAAACAGTCTTGTAAAATCTATATTGATCTTCTCTTATCAATATATATTTTAAATTTGAAAATACTGTGTTTGTATTCATCCCCCCTTCTACAAACTGTTATGCATATCTTATAGACCCTAACGGGACCAACAAGTGGTATCAGAGCAGTGTTCAATCTTCTCTAGTTGTTTGGTTGTTTTTCTGCATTATTTTATCTTCTTCTTTAGATAATATTACTGCTTTTAAATGGCTTTTGCAAAACACAAACACACACGTTCAAGTAATGGCTCTCTTGCCAAACCTCCCCAATTCATTCGAGACAACTTTAGTCTATGGAAGAATAGGATGTCCCTCTTTCTAGAAAGTGTGGAAGGTGTGGATCCTGAAATTCCACACTATATAAAAAATAGACCATATGTACCATTTGCTATTTCACCGGCTGTTCCTGCAACAGCTACGACTGCCACGATTCCTGAACGGCAGATTCCAAAACTCCCTCATCAGTGGAGTGATGAAGACAAGAAGAAAATAACTATAAACACTTGGGCTAGGTCTATAATAGCTATGTCTCTTCCTAACGAGATTCATCACTCAGTGATGAAACTCGGGACTTCTAAATCCATGTGGGACACTCTTTGTGTTTAATATGAAGGAACCTCTCATGTTCAAGAATCAAAGAAGATTAATTTAGTAAGACAGTATGAAAGCTTTCTCTGTGGAAAGACTAAGGCATTGTCTAAAGTACGTTAACGTTTTAATTGTCTTCTTATTGATCTTAGGACTGTAGACAGGAAATATTCCAACTTTGAAACTTTAACTAAGTTTCTGGAATATCTTCCTGAATCTTGGGACACCTTTTCTATGTGTCTTAAGATGTCCAGTGACATGTCCTCTCTTTCTCTTTCTATTCTCTACGGGATTTTGCTTAATCATGAGCAATCTCGTCAGCTGAAAAGGAATCTAGTCAAAGATTCCAAAGAAATGAAAAGCTCTCTGTTAGCTTTGATCTCTGAAAATGCTTCAGCTGAAACTCCTTTTTCTTCTTCTTTCTCTTCATCTCTTCCTATTGTTGTAATTACAGAGTTAGACTCTACTAACTCTGAGGATATTCCAGAATCTGATCTTGCAAATTTTGATGAATCCCTGGTTGACTAAATCTTTTAGGAGATTCGCCAGCAAAAGCAACTTCCGCAGATCTCTTTCGCTGACCATTAAGGAAAAGCAAAGTCTGACAAGATAGACAATGCTTCAGTAATCTGCTGCAATTGTCACCGCACTGGACATTTTGTAGGTGAATGCAGATCAAAGAAGACTGCGGCACCATCTTCCAAAACCCTATCCTCCTTCAGCTCCAGGGATGACAAATACCTGAAACTGAAGGAGAAGTATAAGAAGATGAAGAATTACCAGCAAAAGGCCAAAGGTCTTATTGCTGAAGAGCATGATTGGGCTGATTCAACCGATGAATCATCTTCTGATGGGAAGATACAACCTATCTTTGCTTGATAGCCAAGGATGTCAACTAAGAAACGTCAGAGACATCTACTTCAACTGAACCATCAACCTCTACTACTGCTCAGGTATGTATCCTGAATGAACCCTCTTCCTCTTCTTCTAGCCTATCCGCACTAGACACGTTGATGGTGGATCTTTACAATGCTCTCAATGACAAACCAAAAGCATAAATGCTTAATCTTGATCTTCAAGAACAGTTGAAGATTTGTCATTCTAAGATCAAGGAGCTGACCAAGGTTGAAGAAAACCTAAAAGATCAGGTCATTGTAAACTAAGCCATCACTGTTGAACGCGAAAAGGCTATTGCTAAGCATGAGCGATCAATCGCTGAGCTCAAGGCTGAGAAGGCTACCATTGAAGGATGGTGCAAAGCTTCTATCAAATCCTCTGAGATCATCAATGCTCAAATCCCAGCCAAGATAACGACTGGTCTAGGATTTTCCTATGATCAGGAAGAACGTGTCACTGACAGGTCCATGCTTAAGTTTGGTACCTTTGTCTCTTCCATTCCTGACACTTCTTCCTCTCAGTCTTCCTTTACAGAGAGTCATCTTGATGGAACTCTTTCGAGTTCAGGTTGCAAAGACAAAAGTAAATCCATTGTCACAACACCTCTTCCTAAGAAGTCTAACAAGTCCAATAGATCAAAGTCTATTCCTTCAGCTTGTAAACCTTCTTCTTTAGGGACTAGGAAATCTGAATCCTCTCAGAAATCAAAGTCTCAGCTCAAGGTGAATGCTTCACTTAAGGACTCCAAATCCTCAAAGGTTCCTCCAAGAACTAATGAGAAGGGAATCCTTGGAGCTGGTCCCTCTTCTAATCTGGTACTTCCTGGCCCTAAAGCTACCT